CATACTCTTTGTTACAAGTGGCTGAGACACTTAACGAAAGCTCACCCCTGAGGTGAGTGAGAATTCATGCTGGGAAGACCTCTCTGCATACAGTTCAGATTTCAGCTGAAGACTCAGCGATACCTTCCTTGCCCTCTCAATAAATGAGTGAAATTAATGTTATATTGTCTCTTTCTGTCACGTGAACTTGTGTGTAGGGGGTTGACCTTAGAGCCCTCTAGGGACACAGTGGAATAAAACTATTTTTATTTGGCTGACTACCAAATTTTGTTCCTGCCAAGCACTAAGAAGCTAAAGGAGAATTGTATTTTTCTGAAACGGATATCCAAATTGAGCAGCAGCATTGTAAAAGATAATGGAAGGGATTGTGAGAGGAGATGGGGAAGTCATAGCCTGTCAATGAGAGAGAGTTTAGGAGAAAGGAAGGAGATGATTGATGTGGAATCTCAATAAAGTTTTAACCAAATGTGCATTGTAGTCCTCTCTGTTCTCCCCATAAAACTTCAGTTAAACCTACATTTCTCTGAAATATTTTGGATCTGGATTTTGTGGGAAGATGGAAAGAAGGGCTGAGTCTGATCCTAAGGACAGAAACTCAATTGCAATCATGGAACTCATCTCAGGTTAGGAAATAGAATTAAAGGAGGGAATGTACTCCACCCCTGAGACTACAGAGAATGGCTTCCAAATGTCACTTTTTGAAGTGATAGAGTGTCCAGGATTATGTTCTAGCATTAATGCCTGGGTTCCTTTTCTTTTTCAATATGGTGCCTCCTCTGCTATAATAATCTTTGCTCATAAACTGTCTCTTTTTAGAGGGGTCGCACATCTGCATTTGCAGAAAGCATCCACAAGAAGGCCTACACTGGAGTCAGGTCTCCTTTTGCTTATTTAGAAGAAAAGACAACTGTATAACAGTGCCTGTTCATTTAGTTTATGTTGATTACTCTGTTTCATTGGGTTGTGACCAATCATTTATATGGGAAATCCATCTAGACACTTTTTTGGTTTGTTTTTAAGACCTGGAGCCATTCCTTGTTGGGTAAACTTACGCGATTCAGCCATGTTGGTAATTTTTCTTACTCTCCTGTGAGGTTTTTTTATGAAACACACTGAAATGTATTTGCCTTGTTAAAAAAAAGGTTTGCATATATTTCTGTTAATATACTAGAAAGTATAAAGCACTCAGGATGTTCTGATAATATCAAGTTTAATACGATTTCTCCGTTGCTGCAGAAATACTCGTGAAACTCATTGCTGCTGGCTAGTTGTGTAGAAAAAAACA